ATAAGCCACTCAAGGATCAAACAATAACAGGATCCTCCAGCACCTAGGATGTGGCCTTGGTTCCTTAGTATGTTTTATTCAGGGTCAAGTAAGGGCACTGCATAATGAAAATATCATTTCTTGTTATCTGGTTATCGCTATCCCGCAAGGTCTGTGACGAAGGATACGGTTCCNACTCGACGTCTTCCCGCGCAAATCGATCGCCTTGGGTATATAAAGTGCAATCCACGCCGGCAGGACTTCAGATTGATCCGACATATCTTCCTTTATTGGTGTCTCTGTTCTTATTTCTTATGTTCAAGTATGACTCAAGTTTTTATTGTGTATAATTCAAGTATTGTATTTTTGCGGCTTAATTACCCAAGTTTGAGGTAAACGTTGCAATCGAGCTGTGTTGTGTATACTGTATAACCCCGCGTGGCACAAGTTTTGGTGAAGGCGAGCAGTTTGGTGAAACACAGGACAGCTAGATACACTCTACATATGTATAAGTAAGATTCTGAATCATATAGACTTCCAATCCTTAGCAGACGACTACAAGTGAGATGTATGTTCTAGCAGATATACAAACTAACGTGATAATTCTCCCATTGTAGTCCGTCATCGATCAAACATCCAACACAATGACAGCTGATGTTCAACTCAGTGCCCTAATCCTCCCGGACAAACTAGAAGGGGGTATAGATCGTGCATTTAATTACCGGACCGCTCGTGTATAATACTGCATGACTTGCCACTGCACAATCTCCTCTCAAATCTTATTATTGCCTTTAATTAGTAGTAAAAGTCACATCATACCTCTTGTCACAGTTGCACATGCATTCAACAGTAAAACAGAAATAACATATTCACCATAAATATCAATTACTTACAAACAGTTTGATAAGCTCTGCTGATGTGCTCGTGTATGTGTGTGTTTGTCCGACCGGAAGTTCATAATTTCTGCCCTCTGGACTTGGAGCTCCCAAAGTTGAAAGGGATACAGTCGGCAGGATGGGAACACCGACTGTAGGTGATACGAAGTGAAAACATTTGATGGAAAATGGTATGAAACAATGAAAGGCAAGAGCAGCAGGTTTCGTCCATTACTTCATGTTAAGGGTGTTAATCAGGGATTGATCAACTGATTAGGTGTGATGACGATAGAAGGCGAAAGCCACTAGGTCTAAAACACCCTTCGTGCTAGCAGTGGAACCTTAGCACTTTGTTGATAAGATGTGACGGGATCGTAGGTACTCGTTGATGGAAGGTTATAACAACTAGTGACGGCTGATAATAAGCTGAACAAGCAAGAGGCTCCGCTCTTTGTGTTAACAATGGAATTTTGGCACTGTGGCTGTGACAAGGAAGAGCAACTTATAAGGGCTAATGACAATCATAAGAAGGGGAAAGCCGCTAAAATAATTGCATTAATAAAGGAGTCTCGACAGCTGGACATTGATGTAGAGGCCGTAGGTCGTTGATTAGAGGAAATGATAAGATCTGATAAGAGCTGAGAGGGCCTTAGAAAGCATAAGCCACTCAAGGATCAAACAATAACAGGATCCTCCCGCACCAAGGATGTGGCCTTGGTTCCCTGGTATGTTTCATTCAGGGTCAAGTAAGGGCACTGCAAATTGAAAATATCATTTCTTGTTATCTGGGTTACCGCTATCCCGCAAGGTCTGTGACGAAGGATACGGTTCCTCTCTGTTTCGATATAATTTGCTACAAAGCTAAATACCGAAGACACCAGTCCGCTTATCTTCTCTTATCAGTTATCATCGGTTCCTGTCACCGAGTACTTAAAGGTCACTATGTCTACACTTCCAATCAGAGATCACTACCAGTGCTTCACACAATGTTGTCAGAACGAGCACCTCACATCAAAGGAGACCTTTGTAAACCATCATTAATTATTTATTAGGAACCTTCCCCTAAAAGAGCTGCCTATTTATCATTGAAAAATGCTACAATTTGTACTGTCGTGCTAGAGATTCTCCGTTGAAGGAAAAGATCAGTTTTGAGGAGATACATCCAGAAGATTTGGAGGTTAAGAGAATCAGTCATAAGTTAAGCAGAGAACATCATATCAACATGAGTTTGCAAAATGATCGAAAATTACAATGAGAAATACATATATTCTACCAATGATCACACAATAATCACAGTTTTCTTCAGTAATTTTCAAAGGCCTATGGAAGCTCTAGGACTAGATCTTCAGACGTCAAGATCAGTATTTCACGTGGAAAACTCGTAAAGGAGACCGTTTCCTGGTAGTGGAACGAAAGCTGTACAAAAACAGCGATGGATCAAAAGAGAATGTGTACAGATATGTAATCATATTAGAAGAATTGCATCATATTCTGGAGGTAAAAAGTGATGAACGTTGCTCCTTGGACACGAATTTAGTTGAGGGCGGATTTACAACAATCCATCCACTACTACAACGCTCTGTGTGGTGAACGGTCTTGCTTGTCGCATTTGGGATTCGTCGTTTATGTGATTCCCTTTCAAAACTGACTGGTTGAAATTGTGGAAAGAGCACTCTGTTCCTTGAGAATCACGTAGTCGGCCTATGACTTCCATGATTCTGATCCAGTCTTCTTAGGTGATATCAATTGTCCGTCTTCTCATAAGTTTATATACCTCAGTCAGACTACGCTTGATAATAGGCGTAGGTGCTGATATCTTACGTACCGTTTCTGATGGATACCTGAAATCAGCAACGGTAGTAAGGTAGCTATTTCCTTTCTGGTTTAAGACACAATGGCCAACGTACATACACCTGTATAAAATCTTAGGTATAGCCTGTTATCATGCAGTATAAATAACTATCAAGTTTCACTAGATCTACAGATGGAATGGTTCAATCATGTTATAGAAGCTACCAGCGAGGAAATCACGGTTTACTGCGTTGTTTTCGAATCTTCTAACTAGAAAAGTCAGTAAGCAGCTACTTCTTGAATCCACTTCGGTAAACTCCTAAAAGGAGTATTTTCTTATAAGACACCCGTTCTCGCCAATAGGTTGGCCTTCAGGTGACAAAAGAGTGGGCAGCGTTTCGCTTATATCCTCGCAGTCTACCCAAAATAAACTTTGCGACGTATTAGGAAAAATACGTCTTTTGCATGAAGTAACAGCAGAAGATCCATAAATTACCTCCTTATTCGATCCGACTGATTTTGATTAGCTTTCCCTGCATCGGAGCATTTCATATAACACGAATAGTTGGCACCCGTATTGCTTTGGAAAGTGCTTACGTTGAAAAATTCTCGAAGAGCCTAAAATCACAAAAGTAATTTTTGAGAAATGCGACAGAGTGTTGCGGCGGGAAAAAGATGTACCTTTTTGAAACCCGGCATACCGTAGGCATAAATAAGAGGATTCAAAGCGCAGCTCATATGGGATAGCACTACTGTCCACAATGTCAATCCAGCGATTGAGAATTCCGGCAGAAAGTAGTCGATAGAGTTAATGACATAAAGAGGATACCTAAATAATTGTATTTTATTGGATTCATGAGCTATGTCTCGAAAACCGCATTGGAGCCATGTGTCTGCTTGGGTGTGTTGTCTGCTATTGCAGAATTGCGTCGCCTTCGTGCACTCGCCCGAACACTCCCTTAACCGCCGTTCTTCCACTGTGAAA